TTGGAGCTCCTGAGGCTGCTGCTGATGGCTTCATAGCTGTAAACACGTTTTGTGTTGCTAATTTTGATCTTAGTTACAACCACGATGCGGTGCGAGGAGCAGGTATCCATGTACACCTTCTCAAGTTATGTGTATATTTATATTCAAGTGGTTTACATGAAACGAGACGTTGACCAGATTTTACTGAGTATGAGTTATGTTAGATAAAGTGTTCACTTGTGAAGTTTTACTGGATAAAGACTCGCAGATGTTTATGTTAATAAGCACATTGTTGTTCAAGCACTGACAGACACACACATAACCATACAGATTTCCATGGGCATTGTAACGATAAATTATAAAGCACCTAATGGTCTCAACTTGTTAGGGGTGACTTGAATATGGATGATAATTGGAAGGTTACTTAAACATAAGAGAAACGTTTTATGATTTATTTACATATGAAACTAAAGCTTACATTGAATGTTATCTGTACAGATACACTTGGCGTCTCCCTTAAGTTACACGCACACAACGATAGCCTACAAGGCTGGTCTTGGAAGGTGCGTCTTCAGCATGTAGCTGTTAGTGATGGAGAATATAAGACAGTTGTGCATCTCTCAAGATGCACGGGGGGGGGGGGGGTGAGATGGGAGCCGTTGATCTGGTTTGTGTTGTGTGTAGACTCAAGGAACACTCGAGTGTTACAATCACCCACGTGACCATTAATCTCCCAACTGACCCTCAGATACATTGCAACTATTAACTTAACAATCATTGTTATTTGGAAACATGGCTCTGTAACTGAAGAGTCTTACAGCGTAATACCAGTCAGTATAAGTGATTTGTTGCATTAATATGTGCAGCATCCACATATAAAAATTGAAATTTATATAAATTAAAAATATATAACGGCCTGGCACCCTTTATATAATTTCAAAGTTCAATTTCAAATAATTAAAGAATGCTTAATTATGGGAAGTACGTAATGATGAGTTGATGGCTCTCAGTTCCCTTGAATTGATTTACAATGTGTAAGGTATGAATAATTCAATTTACATTTATTGCTTAAGTAGTAAGGATGATTTAAATATTTGTCATAAAACAGATCTTGGCTACATATGCCTGGTCAAGAATGTACACTCACTGCCATGTCCTAACGATAGAAAATAAACAAAAGCTCAACCACCAACTTCACCAATCGTCAATTTAAATACTAACACACACACACACACACACACACACACACACACACACACACACACACACACACACACACACACACACACACACACACACACACACACACACACAAACACACACACACACACACACACACACACACACACACACACATACACACACACACACACACACACACACACACACACACACACACACACATACACACACACACACACACACACACACACACATACACACACACACACACACACACACACACACACACACACACACACACACACACACACACACACACACACACACACACACACACACACACACACACACACACACACACACACACACATACACACATACACACACACACACACACACACACACACACACACACACACACACACACACACTGTCATCCCTTCCCCATTCCCATCATGTCCCCCCTCCCACCTTTCCCCCCTCCCCCTTCATCCCATACCCTCCCTATCCCTCCTCCCCCCTCACCCCGTATCCTCCATGTCCCCCCTATCTCCTTAACCCACACCCTACCTGTCCCCCCTTCCATGAAACCCCCACCCCTCATCCCAAACTCCCCTGAACCCCTGCAAACCACCTCACAGATCATCTCACCCACAGAAAAGCTTCCCACACCAGCAGAATGCTCGCCAAGAAAGGGACAAGAAAATGAACTGAAGAAAGTGAGCTTCAAGGCAATGTACACTAACATAGCTGGAATTACAAATAAAACAAGTGAACTCGGAGAATGGGCACTAGAAGAAAACCCAGACATAATAGCACTCACAGAAACAAAGCTAACAAACACCATAACAAACGCAGTGTTTCCACAGGGCTACTATGTAGTGAGGAAAGAGAGAGAAGGGAGAGGAGGAGGTGGTGTAGCTTTGCTACTAAGAGAAGGTTGGAGTTTCGAAGAGATGGTAATTCAGAACTGTGAAGGTTTCAGTGACTACATATCAGGCACCATAGCAACTGGAGGACAGAAAATTATAGTAGTAGTCATATATAACCCCCCACCGAATGTCAGAAGACCCAGACAGGAATATGATAGAAACAACTTCGCCACCATCAATATAATAGAGAGAGCAGCTTCAGTGGCTAGCAGGAACGGATCCAAGCTACTAATCATGGGAGACTTCAACCATGGAAAGATAGATTGGGGGAACAGAGACCCACATGGAGGCCCAGACACATGGAGAGCTAAGCTGCTGGATGTGGCAACAAGAAACTTTCTAAGTCAACACGTCAAGAGACCGACAAGAACGAGAGGAGGGGATGAACCAGCCTTGCTTGATCTGATATTTACCCTAAATGAGTCGGATATAAGGGAAGTTAAGTTGGAAGCCCCCTTGGGAATGAGTGATCATAGTGTATTGAGCTTTGAGTACCTGGTTGAGCTAGGAATTATCACCCCCAAAAAAGAACTCTGAAACAAAGGGCTGGCGTACCGAAAGGGAAACTATGAGGAGATGAATAAATTCCTATGGGATATACATTGGGACACAGAACTCGGAACCAAGTCCGTACAAGACATGATGGACTATGTCACCCAAAAATGTCAGGAGGCTGTAAGCAGGTTTGTCCCAGCCCAACAGGAAAAAAAAGAGAAGCAAAGGAAGAATCCGTGATTTAATAGGGAATGTATGAAAGCAAAGGAGCTGAACAAAAGGGCATGGAGGAACTTCCGTAATAACAGAACACCAGGAAGTAGAGAGAGATACCAGAGAACCAGGAACGAGTATGTTAGCGTGAGAAGAGCAGCTGAGAAAAGGTATGAAAATGATATAGCTAATAAAGCCAAGACCGAACCAAAGCTACTACACAGTCACATCAGGAGGAAGACAACAGTGAAGGAACAGGCGATGAAACTTAGGGTGGGCGAGGACAGGTACACAGAGAATGACAAAGAGGTGTGTGAAGAACTCAACAAAAGGTTCCTGGAGGTCTTTACAATAGAACAGGGAGAAGTCACGGTGCTAGGAGAGGTGGCAGCAAACCAGGTGACCTTGGAAAGGTTCGAAATTACAAGAGATGAGGTCAAGAAGCACCTATTGGAGCTGGATGTGAGAAAAGCTGTCGGGCCGGATGAAATCTCACCATGGGTATTGAAAGAGTGTGCAGGAGCACTTTGCTTGCCACTCTCCATAGTGTATAGTAGGTCACTGGAAACGGGAGACCTACCAGAAGTATGGAAGACTGCTAATGTAGTACCAATATATAAAAAGGGTGACAGACAAGAGGCACTGAACTACAGGCCAGTGTCCTTAACTTGTATACCATGCAAGGTGATGGAGAAGATTGTGAGAAAAAACCTAGTAACACATCTGGAGAGAAGAGACTTTGTGACAACCCATCAACATGGGTTCAGGGAGGGTAAATCTTGCCTTATAGGCTTGATAGAATTCTATGATCAGGTGACAAAGATTAAGCAAGAAAGAGAAGGATGGGCGGACTGCATTTTTTTGGACTGTCAGAAAGCCTTTGACACAGTACCCCGTAAAAGGTTGATGCATAAGCTGGAGAAACAGGCAGGAGTAACTGGTAGGGCGCTCCAGTGGATAAGGGAGTACCTAAGAAATAGGAAGCAGAGAGTTATAGTGAGGGGTGAGACCTCAGAATGGCGTGAAGTCTCCAGTGGAGTCCCTCAGGGCTCTGTGCTTGGACCTATCCTGTTTCTGATATACGTAAATGATCTCCCAGAGGGTATAGACTCATTCCTCTCAATGTTTGCTGACGACGCCAAAATTATGAGAAGGATTAAGACAGAGGAGGACAGCTTGAGGCTTCAAGAAGACCTGGACAAGCTGCAGGAATGGTCGAACAAATGGATGTTAGAGTTTAATCCAAGCAAATGTAATGTAATGAAGATAGGGGAAGGAAGCAGGAGACCAGATACAAGGTATTACTTGGGAGATGAAATACTTCAAGAGTCAGAGAGAGAGAAAGACCTGGGGGTTGATATCACGCCAGACCTGTCCCCTGAAGCTCATATCAAGAGGATAATATCAGCAGCATATGCCAGGTTGGCTAACATAAGAACGGCCTTTAGAAACTTGTGTAAGGAATCTTTCAGAACATTATATTCCACATATGTCAGACCAATCCTGGAGTATGCGGCTCCAGCATGGAGTCTATATCTAGTCAAGCATAAGACTAAACTGGAAAAGGTTCAAAGGTTTGCCACCAGACTAGTACCCGAGCTGAGAGGTATGAGCTACGAGGAGAGACTACGGGAATTGAACCTCACTTCGTTGGAAGACAGAAGAGTTAGGGGGGACATGATCACCACATTCAAGATTCTCAAGGGAATCGACAGGGTTGATAAAGACAGGCTATTTAACACAAGGGGCACACGCACTAGGGGACACAGGTGGAAACTGAGTGCCCAAATGAGCCACAGAGATATTAGAAAGAACTTTTTTAGTGTCAGAGTGGTTGACAAATGGAATGCATTAGGAAGCAATGTGGTGGAGGCTGACTCCATACACAGTTTCAAGTGTAAATATGATAGAGCCCAATAGGCTCAGGAACCTGTACACCTGTTGATTGACGGTTGAGAGGCGGGACCAAAGAGCCAGAGCTCAACCCCCGCAAGCACAACTAGGTGAGTACACACACACACACACACACACACACACACTTCTTGTTGATTGACGGTTGAGAGGCGGGACCAAAGAGCCAGAGCTCAACCCCCGCAAACACAACTAGGTGAGTACACACACACACACACACACACACACACACACACACACACACACACACACGCACACACACACACACACACACACGCACACACTGCATTACACAATGTTGTAGCGCACAAAGCTCCTGAGAATATTTTCCTCTGACAGTGAGAGCGTTGGTATCCTAAAAGTCATGTGCAAAATTATGGGTAGCTTCCTGAATGGAAAAGAGGTAGCATAATCTACATCCTCTTGTGTCACGCTGTAGATGTTTTCTGTTCTTCTAGTCATGCTGCAGGAAATACAAGAATCAGTACATTAGTCTAAGACGTGTGTGTAATTTGACGTGTACTAATAGTAAAAAACCTATTGCTTTGAGCATGTGACCATCATGACACTTTTTTTGGCACTGACCACCAGTTCTTTCATATTAAAAAAATTCAGATAGAATGTTTAAAACATATATTTTTCTTATAGGATTGTTAAACATTATACACAGATCTCTTGAAAATTAAAAAAAAAATTATATTCATCATACTTCACACGCAGCAGCGATACTTAGCAGTGAAGTTTCAGAACATTTAAAGAGTCAACTTTGAGCCAGGTCCCCACCCCCACCTCCTTCTAAGCCTTATCCACTGAGTTCTCTTGTGCTTTTGATAATGACATATCAAAAGAATGATATGTCAAGAGAAGTCGCAAATAACTATGATCTAAGCTTTTCTTGTACATTGCATAGTACTCTATTCTTATGTACACTTTGCAAATACAATTTCCAATTGATCCAAAACACTTAACCAAGCATAACCAAGTCCAAACTACGTGTTTATATTATTAATAAAACAAATATTACAGCGTATTTTGAAAAGTAAGATTTAAGCGGCAGCATGAGGGAACATGGTTTGAAGATGAGCTGCCTTCACATAACTGTGTGTTAACTTCAGGTCAGTTTACTTGCTTGATACCTGGTTGATGGGGTTCTGAGAGTTCTTCTACTCCCCAAGCCAGGCTTGACTTGTGAGAGTTTGGTCCACCAGGCTGTTGCTTGGAGCGGCCCGCAGGCCCACATATCCACCACAGCCCGGTTGGTCCGGCACTCCTTGGAGAAAATTATCTAGTTTCTCTTGAAGATGTCCACAGTTGTTCCGGCAATATTTCTTATGCTCGCTGGAAGTATGTTGAACAATCTTGTTCAATTGTGTGTTTTGATACTTCACAATTGTTGACAGAGTTTAAATAATTAGTTTTACTTTGTTTAATGTCCCTGGGTCTGTAAAAGTCCCAGTCCCTTATCTTGGTCTCCCACACAATTGTAGACCTGTTAGTTAGCTGAGGATAATCCAGTAATATTGGTTACCAATATTTGCATTGACCTACCAGAAGGGGGAGTTGGGACAGCCGATGACGTAAAGCTGGTTACCGTAGAAGGAAGTTGTGAACATCATCTCTAGGTTCTCGAAGAAGTAATGATCGTCCAATCCCAGACACTGCCGAGGATAAAGACATATCATAGGGTTTGACAAAGTTTCTCTGGTTGCCCCTTTAACAGCAGGTATTCACTTAAAAATATAAATGGAAACACATGGAAATCCTAGTATAATTTGGAGTGTTTTTTTTTTTAAATTGTGTGCAATATTACCAATTTGCATATGGCAGAGCTGTTACAATGCTGCCATGTGCAAATTGCAAGACACCAGAGCTGTTATAATGCTTAGGACAACAAGTATGAGTAGCAGTATTTAGAAGTGGTTTAACGAAATACCTACCCAAAAAGCTACCAGATTATCCTGATCTGGCTGGTTAGGATAAGGCACTTTAGTACAACAGTTTCTTGACGTTGAGAACGCTCGCCAGAACGGCCAGAACACAAATGGCCGGCTTGAGCGAACGTGTCCCTGGATGGCGTTCTGGGAGTTCTGATACCATCATTTGGTAATCCTGTTGGCGATCCCTGGACAATAGCATCATTTGTTTATGGACTGGACAATCAGAGATATGCTGACCTGCCAGAGTCTAGGCTGAGTAGGCTGCTGTATTCTCATCTGAAGTGATGGGGCAGTGAGGTCATGACTTCATCACAGATCCTTGGTTGACCGTTGTGTTTAACTTGACCTGCTAACATCTTACCATTTCATCAGGCATTAACTTCCAGTCTGTGGCTTCCAAGGTCGCCGACGCCTTGGTGCTAGCTTCTATGGTGAAAATGCTGAATTCGTCCTATCTAGGTCTAGTCATAACGAATATAATACTTGCGTTTTGGCTTTATGCACTCTGGAATATTCGAGGGCAGATATCCAGACTGAGTGAAATGCAATGGGGACCTATTAGTCATCCGTGGATATCATTCTCTAACTATAGTATATAGTAGCGGTTCAAGGTAATGAGACAATGGCAGAATTACTCACCCTGGCGACAACGTAGTAAGCCTTGGAGGAGCTCATCTCGAATGGCGTGTTCACATACACAACGAAGCTCTGGTTCATCTGAAGATTATAAAAATACATTTTGGAAGAAGGGCGATGAGTTGAAGGGGGATTCATCATGGGGTGGGGTGACCAGCTGAGGGCTTCATCATGGGGGAAGACTGGATATTCAAGTATAGCCACAGATCTATACCAACTCTATCTCATGAAGACAACGTGAAGGTAACCTCATATTGGCACAGTACTTGGCACTCACCTGGTGCCAGGGTATGGGCAGCTGAAATTGGCACTCACCTGGTGCCGGGTTATGAGCAGCTGACATTGGCACTCACCTGGTGCAGGGGTATGGGCAGCTGACATTGGCACTCACCTGGTGCCGGGTTATGGGCAGCTGACATTGGCACTCACCTGGTGCCGGGGTGTAACACGGGGTAGGGTTTCTCTCTACCTATCTTAACTTCTTCTATTCCCCCCTCTACCCGTATTCTTACTTTTTATTCTCTACCAAGGGAACTCCAAAACTTTTACCAAAGCCAACTCCACGCCACGTGGTCCTAAGACGATTGACCGACTTAGGATTCTACACCCAGTATGACGTGACCTAGGCTTTGAGCAAAACCCTAGAGTCGCCTCCGCCGCCACCACCAGACCAGTAACACAAGAGCAATGATCGAGGTCTGGATCGATCATGCGAATTAACCAACCTTGGGGCTTGATCCCCACTAGTAGTTTATAGCCTCGGAAACTTGAGTGTGGAATAAATTACACGGTAATGATGAATTCCGATTCGATGTTAGAATCGGCGCCCAATTCAACTCTGCCTCGTGTGGACCACGTGACCAGGACAAGTATACACATAAACACATGGAAATAATAAAAATGCAAATTATTAACTAATTAATTTATTAAAAGAAAAACTAAAACAAAATCTAAATATGTTCACTCCCTGTCACTTTAACACTCCCTACTTGACCTGAATGCAATGAGTTGACTATTCCTATACATAACAATAGCAACTATACCTTGGGCAACCAGCTAGATGTTGGGCTGGTCTTGGGGAGAGGTACGATGGTTGACCTCTCCCAGTTGCTCTTGTGTCCACACTGATCTCTTCCTCGTCTGGTCTACCCCAGACTAGAGCATTGTATCCTTCCGCCTAGTCAAAGTTCTACCCAGTTACTAGCAAGGTTTAAGTTATAACAATTAACCTCTGTTGTACTTAATTGATCCAGACTGGTTGAATTATTTTACTGAAATTAAATTACACAAACATCTAACGGCAGAGCTGTTCCCGATCCCCAAAATGGTTAATTGAACTTTGAGAAATAGTAGACATGTCAACCCTGATGACCTATGACCGTCGGTCACTCCGCCTTACAAGTTAGATCTGATTCGTGACGTCACTGATGGTGACTTAAACTCAATAATTAGAATACTCTTGATATTGTACCCAGTACTATTATACAATACAATTTTAATACAAAATGAATAAAGGCTAATTTCTCTAAATTACTGAATACTATAGGATGATTCATTATACGCAGCTTATGAACAAAGCGTCGGTTATTTTCACAGCGAATTCCCCTGGGGTCAGGTCCCCAGGTCACCACGCGGGCTCAGGTTCCCGTTCTCTTTTGTCGATAAACCACTCTGGATAATTCTTACAACAGCCTAGTTTGTTACAACCCCCCCCCCCCCCGCACAAGCACTTAGTAAACCTTGTTAATTTGTTAAAAAATCACGAGGTTTAGTATCCAAACCCAGAATTCAACTCATGCCACAAACAAAAGCTAACCTAACTAATAAAATTTGACAAATAATAGTCCAACATCATAATAAATATGTTCACATTTCATAAGTTTCTCAGCTGTCAACTGACAGCAATCCTCTAACATCAAGAAACATACATCCTATCCTTTACTGACATAGCTGAATAACATGTCCCTACTCTACCATCAAAGACTAGCTATTAAACTCCCTTGGCTCTTCACTAGCCAAGTCCATGTGTCCTCTAGAGCCGGCCACACCGTGCTCAAACAAACATTAAAGTTATATATTCAGACTGAACTTTCAGTCATCCGGGAGCGTACTACGGAACTATCAGGTACACATCCGTGTACTAACGACTCCCCATCAATGTCAACCTTGACATGTTAAGGAACACACCTAATGTTTATTACATGTATCTAAAAATATAAAAAAAAAAATTCCTCTACTATATCACAGGTTTCAGCTGACTGTACAGCCAAGTGTTCTCACTCACTAGAAGTGTCAATGTTTATATTGGTCCGCCTTTCCTGTGTTCAAACATTCTGCAAAAAATAGCACAACATAATTTTCCATAACCGTTTGTTCTGGGCTGAGACAATTACACAGGGGCTTCGATTTTGATTACTGATCAATTTATAGAGTTAAATTTTCATATATTATACCAGAATTATTTTAAATCTGTTTTTCAACATTTAAAAAGGATTGTGATTCTAACTCTGTTTTTCAACATTTAAACAAAAGTGTCCAGATGTTCTTTACACAGATGTTCAGAGCCACTTTGTTGTTTGTATCAATTGTTCATATTGAGTAATCGAGAAAAAAAAATCGATGCTGCTGGATGCTGAATGTAGTCGCTGACGATGACGATGTCGATCTTGCTTCTCCCCATGTGTAGACATCAATACCTGGTCCTCTTGTACTCCCATCTGGTACTCTTGAATGACGACAGAGTGTAGTAGAGCTGAGTGCCAAGTGACAGCTGTAGAATACTGTTACTTCGGCCATTAATCTTGCTCTCGACAGTCCACACGCCTTCATATCAATCACAGTTCACACGGCAGTCTTGATGTTAAACTTGACGTCGCAGATGACCACAGCAGAGCAGGACTGGATGTACCAACAGTGTCTCGTAGCAGGAGTGGTGTCAGAAGGTCGTAGAGGCGGGTTGCTTGTTTGCAGAACAGGTGAATCTCGTCTTCCAGCATTGCTCACGTCATCTCAGGCGTTTCTTGATGTCACCAGGTTACTAGGCCGTAAACACCAACTGTGTATACCCTCGTACCGCCGACTTTAGGCCAAAGGAAACAATTTTGCGACCTTCTATTGGCGAGTCCCGGTACTCTGTAGGGAAACCGTGCCTTCCACCTGTGACCGCCTTACTTCCGCTTTCTTGTTACTTCAGATGACGTAATCATTAATCTTCCGGCGAAATTCTTGAGTACTGCTACGTGCTTTCCATTTCTTGACCTCTCCTCCAACACTACTGGAATGGCTGCAGTCTTGATGACGCAGCAGGTGGGTAGTGGTGATCTCGAGACAGCTACCCCGGCGTTGTATGGCACCTCCGGTGACTGCTATAATGTGGACAGCTCGCTGGCCCTGACAACCTCGTTAGTGACGTGAGGCGTCGGCCGGGTGACTCTTGGACAGTCACTTATCCCCAAAGTAACTGATGTATGGGTTACTGGGTCTGGTGGGGGGAGGGCTTTGTGTAACGTGCCTCCCCCCTCGGACTTTACAGACAAGGGTTCACGTGTGGCTGGAACAACTGGGTCGGTGTACCAATCAGACCTGGGAACAGACAGACACAACACAGCGGAAGCATAGATATACTCTGGGTTTGGTGGGGTTTGGAACCCAAGAGCACGGTAAAAGTTGCTACCTGAGTCAAGTATAGACATAGTACACCTCATTGCCTTTACAGGAAAATCTAATGAATACTAAATTATACTAACCAAGGAAGTTACTTTACTGTACAGCGCGAGATCTCGTCACCATAGGGTGGCGAGACTGCACCTGACTACTAATGAGCGATGACAGAGGATCATCCTCATCTTCTGACTCGTCGGTGAAGCCATGAGTCAGCACTGCTGAGTCAGGAACTAGACCCGCTGAAGGCAGTTCTAATTCCTCTCTAGCATGATAATGTTTCAATTTATTCACATGAATTGTCCTTTCCACCTGGTCCCCGAACACTCCTTTTATATAACAAGTATGGGCAGCTGACATTGGCACTCACCTGGTGCCGGGGTATGGGCAGCTGACATTGGCACTCACCTGGTGCCGGGGTATGGGCAGCTGACATTGGCACTCACCTGGTGCCGGGGTATGGGCAGCTGACATTGGCACTCACCTGGTGCCGGGGTATGGGCAGCTGACATTGGCACTCACCTGGTGCCGGGGTATGGGCAGCTCCACACACGGGTGCTTACTGAAGTGCACCACATGTCCTGTACGGATGTTGTTTGTGTGCAACTTGAGGTAGTTGTCCAGCTCTGCCCTGTGGACCAGCACGTGTTACTTGTACAGTATTCAGTGTTTTTCTCTGTTCAATGTTATTCTGTGTTCAATGAAATCATTTAAGGACTGTATAGCGACGATGATGCTAATTGAAACAATATTCTATTTACCGATTACTTACGACAAGCTAAATCCTTTATTTAGATTTCCCTTTGTTTATAAAAAGTTCTTGAGGATAATGAATTAACGAAAATAATAACCCACACTTCTGAAACACAAGGAAACATTCTCGTTCACTGCTGAACAGTATCCTGGTTTGGGACCGAAATATTCAGTCGACGTTTGCTTATGATTTTAAAATAGTTGGTTATTGTTTTCATGGATTAGTGCGCTATTGTACTGCATTCTCATAATGAACTTATGTTTACTGCCTTCACTTCGCGCATCCTATTGATAGACATTATTTATGACTTCGTAAGTCATAAGAAGTGAAGTCTTACCCGTGGACGTGGAGGGTGACAAGATTACCTATGGACGTAGAGGGTGACAAACTTACTCGTGGACGTGGAGGGTGACAACTTACCCGTGGACGTGGAGGGTGACAACTTACCCGTGGACGTGGAGGGTGACAACTTACCCGTGGACGTGGAGAGTGACAACTTACCCGTGGACGTGGAGGGTGACAACTTACCCGTGGACGTGGAGGGTGACAACTTACCCGTGGAGGTCGAGGGTGACAACTTACCCGTGGACGTGGAGGGTGACAACTTACCCGTGGACGTGGAGGGTGACAAACTTACTCGTGGACGTGGAGGGTGACAACTTACCCGTGGACGTGGAGGGTGACAACTTACCCGTGGAGGTCGAGGGTGACAACTTACCCGTGGAGGTCGAGGGTGACAACTTACCCGCGGAGGTCGAGGGTGACGTTGAGGAGAGCGTTGAGGGGCCGCTGGTTGTAGTACTGCTCTTGTTCTATACCGGTGACGTGGACTCCCCCTCCCCCACGGTGCTTGGTGCGTGGGATCTCCGGCACCAGGATGTCCCGATCACCCATTACTCTTTCTCGCACCCACAGGTCCCAGTCTGTAACCTGTTGCACAATCAACTTTCAGATATTTTAACCATAAATTTATCGCTTCCAGGTATCTTATAAATGATTCATTGTGATATAAAATTACTGAAGTGCAAAATTAAATTCCAAAGAGAACATTCAGTCCTGACACAATTACTGTGACTGTTGTCCTGGTTTCTTAATATATTAGTTAAATGAATTATTGAGCAAAACCCCAGTGAATGAAAAGCAAGTGAAACATAAATGATATGGAGTTGTGTTTGCTGGCTGACTGATCAAGACCTTCAACACTGCCTCATAATACTCCTGACCTGGTTCATAGGAGCCCAGTTGATGATCATCTCATTTGCCACTTTTCTCCTGACCATCCAGCCATAGGCAGGGGCTCCGTGGACCCTGTAGAGACGCGTGGGGTCGAGGGCGGTGTGGTTGAAGGCGTTGCTGTAATAGGCGCTGACACACAGTAATTTTGGGTCTAATGTGAGCAGTTGAGCTGTTTGGTGGAAGTACCTGACGAGTAAACGAAAATAAGGTGAATAAATCAACCCCATTAATGATGACCTTGTTCAAGATCACCTAACCCCAGATAACATGAAACATTGCGTAAGACAACATATTCTAGTTGACTATACACAAAAAGCAGTAAATGCCAACCCATGCACACCAGCACGTCCTTGTACCATGATAGTACTTATAACAAGTATATGATCCAAAGTATCATTATGTAGTGTTGAACCCACAAATAGTTTACGCTTTGTATTATTGTATTGAATTAGCCCAAATGGCATTCTCTTAAATATGAAATAATACTAAGAGCCCAACCTAACTCGTCCTAGCAATTCGAGGCCTAATACACGTTATCTTTGGTCAAATATAGTATAAACATGTGCTGTACAAGAACTAAAAATGTTTAAGTTTGTTCTTATCTTTTTTTTCGCGGAGTTTTTACAATTAAAAATAGATAATGCGAACGTGTCGATGTTGCAACACAATTTATTTGTGGTTTGTACCAGGTAGTTACTGTAAGTAACCTGGACCGGGCCGCGAGGACGTTAAGCCCCGAAATCAACGCAAGGTAACCACAAGGTAAGTATTATAATTTTGGAAGGATGGGCTGCGCACCCACGAACAAGTAAATGGGGCAGACACTTGGCATGTGAGATACTTTAGAAAACAAGTTATTATATTATCCTGTGAGAGAGAGAAAGCTGTAATAATCACATTAATAATTAATGATTGCGATAACGTCTGAGAAATTGTGTCATGTACGATAACGTCATGTACTTGTCTTCCTTCCATAATGAAGAATGCAGTGCTGTCCTTAGCTGAAATAGTGTGAGTTGGAGGACGTGCACAACACTGGGAGATGGTGCAGGTAGCCCGCTGGACTTGACAATATACCGAAATTTTCAAGCAGTACCGATGATATCAGGAAGGTTTCAGGCAGAGCCAATGATATCAGAAAGGATAGGAGCTGTATACTCGATGAAGTTGTAGCTCTGTAGACAGTAAAATACAAGAGGAAAAAGGCAGGCATCCTCATAAGAACACAACTGTGTTCACATACGACAGTTCCTCAATCCAGACCATGAACTTACTGGTGATTTGATGTTTCATATGTCCTAACGACAACTGTATGGCCTTATTAGTTGAGTTCTTCTCTACACTGGTCATATAGGCTTTAGTTCCATGAGCAGGATAGGTCAAGACGTGAGTATTTTGGCAGTTATTCGAGGCTGATCAAGCGTATCTTCTTCCGGCAACGGGACATGGACATTGTGTGTTACCTAAGCCAGAGTCTAGTGATTTTAGCATGTGTGGCCGTCCTCTCAAATAGTACATTGTATTTTGACGTATAAATCCATTGAGGCCAAAAAACGTGATTTTTTTTATTAGTACGTGGTGCTAAAAATCATAGCGGTTCCCAAAGTTGACGTGATGTCCCGTTTTCTATTCGTGAGTCCTGGGTTAGAGTAGGTTCGGACAATTTACTACTTCAGTTTAGTGACGCGAGCGCTGAAGAGGACGGGCCGGTGTGACCTGCACGTTCTCGTGAGCGTTCCTAATGTTAAAAAACTGTCGTACTGAAGTGCCCTGTCCTAACCAACCAGAGTGGCAGGGCGGTGTGACTGGCGACCCGGGATGCTAAGTGTTAACAATTTAATGATATAATACTCCCTTTATGAAGTTAATTAGCTTGTCGTACCCAGATAATCAGGACCATTTAGCGGAACTTCGCTATTGGTAAACAGTAATGAAGTTGATATTATTTTATTATTTGTGTTCATACTGGTAACGTGAATTTGATCTTTTTGAATTGAGCCTAGTTTTTGCCAGTACGTTTTGTTATGAGCCAGAATGATAAACAATGTTTATCGTTTATATGTAGAATGCAAATGCAGATACATTGCTTGTATTCCCCATATAAACGTTCAGTTTAATAAGTTAATAGATTTTCCCCTACTTTGGGTCATTATTCTTGAGACAATAGTGTAAATTATTAATGCAATATAAATGTTTACTTGGAGTTATATTAATAGAGGTGACAGAAGTCATTGTACAGGGGTCAGAGTAAGTCTATGGCCAGTATTTTACTGATTTAACTTATACTCACGGGATGATGTTAAGGGATGGTTGAGCATACTCACAGGATGAAGTTAAGGTATGATTTAACGTATACTTACGGGATGATGTTAAAGGATGGTTTAACTTACACTCGAGATGATGTTAAAGAATGATGTAACTTATACTCCTGCGATGAGGTTAATGAATGGTTTAACTTATACTCACGGGTTGAGGTTAAGGAATGGTTTAACTTATACTCACGGGATGAAATCCGGAGAGAGATCGAGGTCGTCCTCGAGGATGATAGCCTTGTCGGCCTCAGGGTAGAGCTCAAACACCTTCGTTAAGACAAATCTTACATGATAACTGATTCGATTTGTCGAACCTGTGAAGAACAAGAGTCAGATAATCTGAGTGTTCGCTTACGAAGCACAAGAAATATCACCAACAGGTTATGCATGACGAATATCGAACACAAATGATTTTTGTGTCTATACAAATGACCATCTGATTGTCCAGAGTAGGAGGCCAGACGTTCATCGTCCAACTTCCCAAGATGACACATGTGGAGTATAGGAGTGTGATTGGCCAGTCAGGGGTCGGCCCCAATGCCAGCCTTTAATAAATATTGGCATCTATAGCGACTCTGCGAATTTTATGACTGAAAGCGGGAGATTTATTCCTTTTTGTGATTCAAAGTCTGTTCTTCAAGCAATCGAAAACTTCTCCTGGAAGATCGACAGCAAGAACCTCATACTCCCAATTATAAATGACCTAATTGCTGCACAGAGTAAAGGGTCTCGAATCTCCTTTGTATGGATACCTTAACACATAAATATAACCCATCATAATGAGACAGACATTGCGGCCAAATTAGCGTGTAACAAGGATGTAGTTGAATTAGATCTAGGGTACCGTTCTGGGTGTGAGAGGGGAATGGCCACGCTATGCGAGCTCCGTGGAAAACAATATATATCTAGGGATATTTCAGTGAACTAAACACAGTCAGATAACTTTTAAAGTGTGTCTCAACAGATTAAACAATATATCATAGTGATTACCATCCGACCGTTTGTGTTCAAGGAAAAATAAGTTAAATTCGTGTGTAGTCAAGGCCTGCCCTCGTGGTGCCAGGAGGCCTTAGGCGATAGTTGCCAAGTCGTCATTAAATCACATCCCTCGCTATTGAAACATCAAGAAATCAGTGCCCATAGTGCTAAGCTCTCTATGCAAAACGTGTGTCTATTATAACAAAAATAAGATAACATATCTTAATATCCTCTCTATGCAAAACGTGTGTCTATTATAACAAAAATAAGATAACATATCTTAATATCAAGTGAACAATTTATACACAAAATAAGTCCGTCGTGTGTATGTAAACAAGGGCCATTTGGAGGTAGGCCAACCCGAGTGCCCACTGTGTGTGTATTCTTCCAAATAGTGTAACGTACTCAGGTAACTAGTGCCTAGACAAAGAAACTAGACGCCTCTACTGTAAGATAACTAGTGGGAAAATGCAAGTAATGCAATCCAACAAGTGAACAAAACAAATTAAGAGTGCGACACGTGGTAACAACACTGCCAGTTCATACAACCTCCTCCAGGCCTATCTCAAGTTGGTAAACACCCACGGTCAATACCTACGGTCAACCCCCCAACGGTCAACACCCCACCTTGTAAGACCTTGTAAGACCACCACCACTGAACAGAAATGTTCAACAAAAATGTCTGATAAAAACGTGCATAGAATGCAACATGAAGGTAGATTACCAACAGAGCTTTCAATGCCAACTCTGTTCAGCAGCCATACACAAAAAATGTGCCAACATGACTAATAATTCAAGGAGAAATGGTCCCAGTGACCACTCTGTGTACTGGCTCTGCAAAAAGGATGATGTAACTTTTTTGAAGATGATGGAAATCCTGGATAAAACTCCCGCCAAAAGCAGAGAATCACTAATAAATGCCTGCATAGCAATTTCTAATGTCTTCAAACAAACTGTACATGACACCAAGGTACAACCAGATGCAGCACAGAGCTCGGTGGCAGCGGCGCCTGAGCAGAGCGGGGAGTCGGGGACGCCTGAGCAGAGTGGGAAGTCAGGGACGCCTGAGCAGAGCGGGGAGTCGGGGGCGCCTGAGCAGAGCGCGGAGTCGGGGACGCCTGAGCAGAGCGGGGAGTCGGGGACGCCTGAGCAGAGCGGGGAGTCGGGGACGCCTGAGCAGAGCGGGGAGTCGGGGACGCCTGAGCAGAGTGGGGAGTCGGGGACGCCTGAGCAGAGCGGGGAGTCGGGGACGCCTGAGCAGAGCGGGGAGTCGGGGACGCCTGAGCAGAGCGGGGAGTCGGGGACGCCTGAGCAGAGTGGGGAGTCGGGGACGCCTGAGCAGAGTGGGGAGTCGGGGGCGGCTGAGCAGAGCGCGATGTCAGTGGCGCCAGAGCAAAGCGCGGTGTCGCGGGCACCGGAGCAGAGCACGGTGTCGATGGCACCGGAGCAGAGCGCAGTGCCACAGGCCCCAGAGCAGAGCACAGTGTCGGGGACGCCGCAGCAGAGTGCGGTCCCTGGCAAAGGGACACAAACAAAACAAGGCCCCAAAATCTGTTGGTATTACAGATGGGCTACCTGTAAGCATGGGATATCGGGAAGAACAAATGGAACATGCAAGTACGATCACCCTAGAACTTGCAGAAACCTCCTCAATACAGGTAAATGTACCAAAAGTTGTGAATTCTTTCACCCAGAAATTTGCAAGTACTCTTTGGACAAGAAAGAGTGCTTCAATGCTGAATGTCCAGCTTTTCATATAAGAGGTACCAGGCGAATAAAACCGACAGACCGCCACTATGAAAACAGCCACTACTCCATCGATTAGCAAGAGGAGGAGGAGGAGAAGAATGGCTAAAAATGTCCAGACTCTACCACCAACTCGGTCAAATGCTAGAGAGGACGCAAACACAGTGGCCTCCTTACCAGAGCCTCAGATATTAACACCAAGTAAGGCATCCAGCACTTCCACTAACACGATAACATCATTTATATTTGCCAACATCCTGGGTATAAAAACACGCAAATCCAACAAAGTTCACTTTATAGATGGTCTCCTTCATGAGGCAAATGCAGTGTTTGCAGCCCTAACAGAAACCCACACAAAGGACTATCATGATGGTGAAATATGGATCTCAGAGTACAATCTTTTCAGATGTGATAGGAAATACCGGCTTCAGGGTGGGGTCAGCCTCTACATCAAAGACACACTCATCTGTACTGAGCTGCTAAACACCTCAAATGATATGGTGGAAGTGCTGATAATCAAAATAGAGATCCTAAATGTAGTTGTTGTCCTTGTATATAAGTCACCGGAGGCAAACCCTCAGCAGTTTAAAGACAACTAATGAAAATAGAACACTGCTTGGAAAACCTCACAAATCCAGCTCTGAACATCATCCTGCTTGGGGACTTCAACCTACAGCACCTGAAATGGAAGCACCTGGCTAATACAGTAATATCAGAAAGAGTACCAGGAAGTAGCCTAAATGAACAGGCACATACAAATGACCTGCTACGGATGTGCGACAGGTTTGCCTTAAACCAGCAAATAGTAGAACCAACTAGGAAGGAGAACACGCTGGACCTCATTTTCACTAATAATGATGAATTGATCAGGAACATAATGATTACAAATACCTGTTACTCAGATCACAACTTAATTGAAGTTATGACAACCATGGGGAATAGGCCTTCAAAACCAGTCCAGATTCCTGGTGGAGGAGATTTCCGCAAATTCAACTTCAATAATAAACAGATAAACTGGGAGCAAATAAACCAGGACTTCACAGAAATAAACTGGGAAGATCAGCTAGAAAATGCAAACCTGAACCAGTGCCTGGAAAAAATAAGCTCAGTAGCACTAGAAATATGTTCAAACCGCATACCCCTAAGAAAAAAGAGGAAGAGATGCAGATTGGAACGGGAAAGTCGTTCCCTATATAGGCGAAGATTACGAATCGCGGAACAACTTGAGAGTCGCACCCTATCTCAAGAACGGCGAAAGTTAGGTAGAGAAATAGAAGCAATTGAACTTAAGCTACAAGAATCATACAAAACCCAGGAGAGGCAAAGAGAGCAAAATGCCATTAGTGAAATAGAGAGAAATCCGAAATATTTTTTCTCCTATGCAAAATCAAGATAAAAAACCACATCTAGTATCGGGCCCCTGCGAAAGGGAGATGGAACTTTCACCGATGACAACAAAGAAATGAGCGAGCTACTGAGGAAGCAGTACGACTCTGTTTTCAGCGAGCCATTAAACGCACTAAAGATTGATAACCGAAATGAATTTTTCATGGATATGATACCAACATCAAATCATATATCAGATGTCACCCTATCCCCACTGGATTTTGAAGAAGCCATAAACAGTATGCCTATGCACTCTGCACCAGGCCCGGATTCTTGGAACTCCATAGTCATCAAGAACTGTAAAAAAACCACTATTGCAGGCCCTCCACATTCTGTGGAGACAAAGCCTAGATACTGGCGTTATCCCTGATACACTAAAAACAGCAGAGATAGCACCACTTCATAAAGGAGGAAATAAGGCAGAGGCAAAAAATTACAGACCGATAGCACTAACATTGCACATCATAAAAAATTTTGAGAGAGTGCTAAGAAGTAAGATCACAAAATACATGGAATCAGCATTTCCATAACCCCGGACAACATGGTTTCAGAACAGGGCGCTCTTGCCTGTCGCAGTTGCTGGACCACTATGATATGGCATTAGATGCTATGGAAGACAAACAAAACGCTGATGTAATTTACACAGATTTCGCAAAAGCTTTTGATAAATGTGACCATGGTGTTATTGCACATAAAATGCGTTCAACAGGAATTACCGGAAAAATAGGCAGATGGATCTACAATTTCCTGACTAACAGAACCCAATGTGTAATAGTCAACAAAATAAAATCCAGCCCATCAACCGTGAAAAGCTCAGTCCCCCAGGGTACTGTGCTTGCTCCAGTACTGTTTCTCATCCTCATATCGGACATAGACAAGAACACAACCTATAGCACTGTATCATCCTTTGCAGATGACACTAGGATCTTCATGAGAGCAGGCAACATAGAGGACACGGCAAACCTCCAATCAGATGTAGATCAGGTCTTTCTATGGGCTACAGAAAATAATTTGGTGTTTAACGAAGATAAGTTCCAGCTCATGCGCTATGGAAAAAATTAAATATAAAAACGGAATCCACGTACAAAACTCAGGCAAATCATAACCAAGAACGAAAAGGCAATGTAAAGGATCTGGGTGTACTCATGTCGGAAGACCTTACCTTTAAAGAATACAATAAAGTAGTCGTCACAACTGCAAGAAAAATGACAGGTTGGATAACAAGAACTTTTCACACTAGAGATGCTATACCGATGATGATACTTTTCAAAACGCTTGTGCTCTCTAGAGTGGAGTACTGCTGCACAATGACAGCCCCTTTCAAAGCTGGAGAAATTGCTGACCTGGAGAACGTGCAGAGATCCTTTACTGCTAGAATCCACTCAGTAAAACATATAAACTATTGGGACCGACTAAAGAGCCTAATTCTGTACTCCCATGAGCGCAGGCGGGAGAGATACATAATAATTTACACGTGGAAAATATTAGAGGGGCTGGTCCCAAACCTGCACACAGAAATAACATCACATGAGACCAGAAGACATTGCAGGATGTGCAGAATTACCCCCGTTGAAAAGCAGAGGTGCAACAGGTACTCTGAGAGAGAACTCTATCAACATCAGAGGCCCGAGACTGTTCAATACGCTTCCGCTACACATAAGGGACATAACTGGCAAACCCCTCACAGTGTTCAAGAGAGAACTGGATAAGCACCTCCAAAGGATACCTGATCAACCAGGCTGTGACTCATACATCAGGCTGCGAGCAGCCGCGTCCAATAGCCTGGTTGATCAGTCCAGCAACCAGGAGGTCTGGTCGACAACCGGGCCGCGGGGACGCTAAGCCCCAGAAGCACCTCAAGGTAACCTCAAGGTAAGGTCCCCGTCTCTGCTGTCAAAACTGTATTGGTCCAAACACTCAGGTCTGATAGGAAAGAAATTACTGACTCCCAACGACCTGAAAGTACTAGTATAAAAAGCTATGATATGTTCAGATCTAAAACCTATATCTATGGGCATCATCCGAAACATCCACCAGACTGTGCGACACAGTGGTTGCAAGAATCAGGTTGGGTTACCGTTACCTGTGGCAGGTGGCTGCAGGTGACGGATCTCCCAATCCTGAGCACTCCAGGTGCAAACTCTGTGAGCAGGAACTGCGGCATGATCTCCCATACTACATCACCGAATGTCCAGTTATTAGACCTTTCAGATCAGTTGGCATGAGGTACCTGGAACTTTATTCACTCTCGTATTCTTGAAGATATCCTCACAGTGTACCCAAAATTTGCCAGTGCAGGCTACTAAACATATGACCCTGTATTACTAACCATCCTGCGAGATGGGGACTATTATTACCACTGCTGCCTTATTCAATCTTGTGTTGATGATATCCTCAAAATGCTTCCGGAGTCTGCCAGTGCAGACTGCCTATCACGTGCCTCTGTATGACTAACCATCCTGTGTGATGGAGATATTTTTAGCATCACCTAGTTAACTTTTTTGACACACTATACTCCATTTCATATAGTCTAGGGTAGCTGCACTAATGCAGATATACCTCATGTATTAATAAAAAAAAATCCAGGGTGGAGTGATAAGTCCTACAATGTTCAATGTTCTGATGCACAAATTAACAATTGATGCTCTCACACTACCTGGCGAAGCCGTCATCTGTTATGCTGATGACATATGCATTGTTGCAAACACCCAAACTAGACTGCAAGCTCTACTTGATTCACTTGCTGCTAAAAGCATTAAGTGTGGTCTTGTTATCTATAAATCCAGAGTTCTCCATCTCCAAGAGAGAACTCATGTCCCTATAACTTTTAAGGTCAACAACCAGAACATTGAAACGTGTAGGCAGCACAAATAGCTTGGAGTTAGTATCAACAGTGACATTGTAAACGATCTACACCGTAGGTTAAAATAAAGACTTAAACCACAGAAAACACTTACTGGTAAGAATATTTATATCAGTATTAAACATGCTAGATATTCTATATGATGTTTGTTAGATCTCTAGTTGATTATCAAGCTTTGCACCTAATTAACTTCCCCGCCTCTGTATTGGACAAACTTGAAGTAGTACAGAATGAAGCCACGAGGATAATTCTTGGTGCCCCAAGATGCACAAGAACCATCAACATGAGGGAAGAACTGAAGCTTCCAACCATACCAGACAGAATCATGCAAGTCAACACGACCTTTTGCCTTAAAGTCATGAGAGATCCTACATCTCCTGCATTGCTCAGAGACAAATTATTTGGTGATGTCAACACTCTATTGACTGGTGCCGACATACCAACTCACTCCTTTTATGATAAAGGGCTGAGCAAAAATGCCAACAATCTCATAAAACTTAACATTCCTTTTAAGTGCAATCTACTTGTTTCCGATATTCCTCTTTATCTGTGCCCCCACCAATCAAGTATCATACACACCCGTCACGAAGAAAGGTATTGAGAATCTTGCTCTTCTCAAAGCTGTCACACTTGAAACATTTGCCTCCTCCATCGAAAATTTAAGATCTCACGAGCACTGTGTCTACAGCGAAGGCTCAGCCCACTCTTCTACTGGATGGACATGCAGCATGTAGGTTTTATAGAAATAATATTTGCACACAGATTGTTAGAGTCAGGTTAAACAACTGGCTGACCTCCACACAAGCAGAACTAGCAGCATTACAACTAGCTACCAGTACATTAAAAAACATTGAAGGAGGAATAATATTTTGTGATTCAAAGTCTGCTCTTCAAGCAATCGAAAACTTCTCCTGTCAGATTGACAGCAAGAACCTCATACTACCAATTATAAATGACCTAATCGCTGCACTGAGTAAAGGGTTTCTTTACTCTCCTTTGTATAGATACCATCACCTTTGTATGAATACCATCACATAAATATAACCCATCATAATGTGACAGACATTGCAGCCAAATTGGCGTGTAACAAAGATGAAGTTGAATTAGACCTAGGTATCCCCATCTCTACTGTCAAAACTATATTGTTCCAAACACTCAGGTCTGAAAAGAGAGAAATTACTGACTCCCAACGACCTGAAAGCACCAGTATAAAAGCTGATTTGTTCAGATCTGAAACCTATGTTTATGGGCAGCACAAAACGTCGACCAGACTGTGCGACACAGTGGTTGCCAGGATCAGGTTGGGTTACCGTTACCTGTGGCAGGTGGCAGCTGGTGACGGATCTCCCAATCCTGAGGAATCCAGGTGCAAACCTCCCAATCCTGAGCACTCAAGGTGCAAACTGGGGTATGAGCTTGCACACTACATCACCGAATGCCCAGTTATCAGACAATTCAGACCCGTTGGCATGAGGTACCTAGAGCTTTGCAATTTATTCACTCTCATGTTCTTGAAATTATCCTCATAATGCACCCAAAATTTTCTAATGCAGGCTACTGAACATATGGCCCTGTATGACTAGTCATCCTGCGAGATGGGATCCTTAGTATCACTGCTGCCTTATTCACTTTTGTGTTCTTCATGATATCCTCATAATACATCCAGAGGTTGCCAGTGCTGACTACTGATCACATGGACCTGTATGACTAACCATTCTGTGTGATGGGGATATTAGCATCACGTAGCTAGCTTTTTGACACACTGTACTTCCCTTCATATAGTCCAGGGCACCTGAACTATAGGTACCAGGGGAGTACATTTAGGTACCAGGGCATGTACCTAAATGTGTTAATACAAAAGTAGATAGGGAATGAGAAAGGGGAGATTGGAGGATCGGAGAGAGGAGTAAGGGAAGGTAGAGAGACCTGGAGACAGCCGGGAACCCCATCCAGTAATATATATATATATATATATATATATATATATATATATATATATATATATATATATATATATATATATATATATATATATATATATATTATTATTAAATATGACCGAAAAAGTAAGATTAATAATTCTAACACGAACTTTCTCAATGTTTCTTATATTTTTTTTCACTGTTGATAATAACTGAAAAATCAATTCTCCAAAATTCATTTTTATTTCTAGTCTGATGCAACACTTGAGCGCGTTTCGTAAAACTTATTACATTTTCAAAGACTTTAGTTTACACACACACAACTATAACTGAACAGAGTTTAAACATCTTTGATTTTATACCTGCATTTGGGCGAGGTGATATGCAGATATAAAATCGAAGATGTTTAAACTCTGTTCAGTTATAGTTGTGTGTGTGTAAACTAAAGTCGTTGGAAATGTAATAAGTTTTACGAAACGCGCTCAAGTGTCGCGTCAGACTAGAAATAAAAATGAATTTTGGAGAATTGATTTTTCAGTTACCATCAACAGTGAAAAAAAATATAAGAAACATTGAGAAAATTCGTGTTAGAATTATTAATCTTACTTTTTCGGTCATATTTAATAATATATGTCTACAGGAAAGACTGCTACCAAAATATACTAATATATATATATATATATAACCAAACCCAAACATATTATATTCAAGTGATGACCTCCCGAACCCTAATTAGTTCAGGACAAGGAAGCTTTATTGATTTATAAAGATTAAGCCACCCAAAAGGTGGCACGGGCATGAATAGCCCGTAAAAAGCCAAGGAAGAGAGGGTGTCACTGTAAGACAAGAAGGGAGGTGAGGGTAAAGTGGGGAAGTAAAGCATGAAAAACGAGCAAATATACGTTCATAAGAAAACTGCAGAAGGCCTGTAGGCTCAATCGAGGCAGCTCGTAATGGTGAAGAAAGACTAAAATAGCAGAAAATGGAATACGCAAATATGGAAAAAATAGCCTTAAAATTCCAGATAAATGATGGTAGTGTACACATGGTGGTAGAAGCGTACCTCTGGGGACGGCGTCGTAGTGTTGGACTAGAGGGAGGTGGAGGAGGGCAGTCAGCGCCTGGGCCTCGGGGTTGTGGCCGTCGACAAAGATGGTGATGGGTGTGTTGGTGCCGCCGGGGCTGGCCCACACCTGCCCCACCTGACGCAGGACGTGGGGCAGCCGGCGAGCTGTCACTATGGCCACAGGGATCACCTCCTTCATCTCGTACTCCACCTCATACACAACACTATTAGTCCGCAGACATTTGCCACAGGAATGTCTATTTGTATATCACAGCATAAGAGCATGTATATGTGTATAAAGATCCTGAAGTCGCTCTTAATATATAATAATAAACTACTTATTATTCCGAGAAGTAGGAAGTGATTAAATAACATTTTGTGGCAAGCTAAATGTGGCCGTTGACTTTTACATTTATTTGAAGCATCATTGGTCTTGCATACAGAACACTTGTTTCTCACTCCAAGTACAAAAGTTCTATTTCTTATAGCATGCGATTCAAGTTATATTTATATGATATAATTTGTATTAGTTAGGGTGCACGACATTGACTGGATGAAAAATAATACTATCAAAGTTTACATAATTCCTATATACACTTCCAGAATATCATCAGAGATACCCAGACAATAGGAAATTAGCCTAACCACAATATTGTGGACTACAATATTTAATTCGCCTGGACCATCGGAGCCTTAAACCGCAGACCACAAAAGCAGCAGCCCGCAGCTGTGCCCACTGAGCCACAAGAACCCACAATAAGGAATGATTCCATAGACATCTATCTACTGTCCAACTGGAACTTTAGACCTTTCTTGGGGTTAGCAATTTATATTACTAGGATGTAGATCACCTATTAACTTCATACCAAAATGGCACCCCAAGAAGAACTTAAAGTTCAAATTAGACACCAGATAGGTGTCTCTGGAATTCTTCCTTTATGTAGATGCTTGTGACTCAAAGGGTTGAGGTGAGGGTCTGCTGTTTTTGTAGTCTGATGTTTAAGGCTTTAATGGCCAAGGTGAATGAAATGTTATTATCCACGATGTTTATTTGTGTGTATATATACACTATATATATATATATATATATATATATATATATATATATATATATATATATATATATATATATATATATATATATATATATATAATATATATATATAGGGTTAAAACCTCAACACATCAAGCAAATGTTAAATCCTGCGGTTGGTGATACTGCACAAGATCTTATGGAACTCACAAGGTTCGTCAACATGTGCCTGGCTGGTGATATACCTGAGGTCATCAGGCCTCTCTTTTTTGGTGCCTCCCTCTGTGCTCTCAAAAAGAAGGACGAAGGAATCAGGCCAATCGCTGTTGGCAACACTCTCCGACGCCTGATTGCCAAGGCTGCTACGAGGGTTGTCAGCCAGCAAGCGGCTGAATTGCTGAAACCAATCCAGCTAGGATTTGGAATCCCCCAAGGCTGTGAAGCGGCTGCCCATGCAGCACGAGCATACATCACCAACATTTCTGATGAAAAGGCCCTGCTCAAACTGGACTTTAAGAATGCCTTCAACATGGTCAGAGGAGATGCAGTACTTTGTGCCGTGCATCGCCATTTCCGGCCCCTCTACCCGTTCATACTATCGTGCTACAGTGGTGAGTCCAAACTGCTCTTTGGTGAACATGAAATCAGATCATGTAAAGGTGTTCAGCAAGGTGATCCTCTTGCTCCCCTTCTTTTCTGCTTAGTCTTAAAAGAAATCGCCGAAAGCTTGTCCAGCGAGTTCAACATCTGGTTTTTGGATGATGGCACTATAGCTGGCACCGTAGACCACCTCTTGGCAGATATCAGGAAAATAAGGGAGCAAGAAGTAAGCCTGGGTCTTGTCCTGAACCCTTCCAAGTGTGAAGTATTCTCTTCCAACCCAGACATCGTAGCTAGAATAAGGTCTGCCTTGCCTGGAGCCCATGTCATTAGGGCCGAGAACAGCACCCTCCTTGGAGCCCCCCTCGGGTCTAACACCATTGAGGAGATCCTTGACAAGAAAATCGCAGACCTTAGGAGGATGGAAGACAGAATAGGTGACATCAATGCCCACGATGCTTTTTATCTCCTCACCAAATGCCTATCCCTTCCGAGGCTAACCTACTTTCTGAGGTGCGCCCCATCTTACGACAGCTGAAAGCTTGAGGAGTATGACCTCTTACTGAAGACAATGCTGGAAAAAGTTGTTAACCTCTCCCTCAACGAATGCCAGTGGAAACAAGCTACTCTTCCTGTCAGGCTCGGTGGCTTGGGTGTCCGCACCGCTACCCAAATTGCTGTCCCAGCCTTCCTGTCTTCCTCCTCAGCATCAGATGACCTGGTTAAGGAAATTCTACCTGACACCCTGAGTGATGTAGCGGGGATACAGGACCTCCACTACACGGAATGCGACACGAAATGGGGGTGCCATGGCAGACCCAGCACTCAGACCAGCCATGCCGAAAGCCAAGAAACAATCCAGTTGGGACAGTCCCATTGTAGACAAAGAAGCCACAGCTTTGCTGGAGGCAGCAACAACCCCCAGTGATCGTGCACGCCTCACAGCTGTGCAGGCTCCCCATGCAGGGGACTTCCTTTTGGCAGTCCCTATGTCTGCAACAGGCACACGTCTTGATCTGCAGGAGCTCCGTATTGCAGTCGCTCTCCGTCTTGCTGCCCCTATCCACACTGTTCATAGGTGTATTTGCGGCGAGGCAGATGCTGACGAATATGGATTGCATGGCCTGCACTGTGGGAAATCTGGTGGTTGGCACACTAGACACGACGAAGTCAATGACATCATTAAAAGAAGCCTTGCCTCTGCTCAGTGTCCAGCGGAGAGAGAGCCCCGCAACCTACTGAACCGTGACTGTTAGCTTTGCCGGCCGACCAGACAGAATCACACTGCGACCGTGGAAGGGTGGCAGACAGTTGGCATGGGACTATACTTGTGTATCCACCCTGGCAACCCCATACATCAACCTCTCTGCCGACACAGCAGGAGCCGCAGCGACACACACGCAGAGAAAGAGACAAGTCAGCCAAGTACAGGCAATTAGATCATCGGTACAACTTCGTTCCAATAGGGTCTGAGACCCTAGGCCCATGGGGAGAGAGTGCAAGAAGGTTTCTTAAGGATCTTGGTTCCAAGCTCATTGACACCACAAGAGACCCTAGAGCAGCAAGTTTTCTCTTTCAGCGCCTCAGTGTCGCGATCCAGAGGGGAAATGCTCGCTGCATCCTCGGTTCCTGCCCGGCGTCGGAGGAGTTCGAGGAAATCTACAGCCTCTAGGAAGCGAACTTTTTTTTGTGTCCTCTTAATGTTATTTTTTTGTATAAAATCAGATATGTAACTGTATAACCTTGCATAATAATGTGTACACCATAAAAAAGGGGGGTGGTAGGAGAAGCGAATACTCTTACGTATTCAGAGTTAAATGGCAAGTTTTTCCCTGAACGCTCTGTGTTCCCTTCTCTGAGGCTGTGGGTCCCTTTAATTGCACCAGAGGTGGTACCCCCGTATATATATATATATATTTATATATATATATATATATATATATATATATATATATATATATATATATATATATATATATATATATATATATGTCGTACCTAGTAGCCAGAACTCACTTCTCAGCCTACTATGCAAGGCCCGATTTGCCTAATAAGCTAAGTTTTCATGAATTAATTGTTTTTCGACTATCTAACCTACCTAACCTAACCTAACCTAACTTTTTCGGCTACCTAACCCAACCTAACCTATAAAGATAGGTTAGGTTAGGTTAGGTAGGGTTGGTTAGGTTCGGTCATATATCTACGTTAATTTTAACTCCAATAAAAACAAATTGACCTCATACATAATGAAATGGGTAGCTTTATCATTTCATAAGAAAAAAATTAGAGAAAATATATTAATTCAGGAAAACTTGGCTTATTAGGCAAATCGGGCCTTGAATAGTAGGCCGAGAAGTGCGTTCTGGCTACTAGGTACGACATATATATATATATATATATATATATATATATATATATGTCGTACCTAGTAGCCAGAACTCACTTCTCAGCCTACTATGCAAGGCCCGATTTGCCTAATAAGCCAAGTTTTCATGAATTAATTGTTTTTCATCTACCTAACCTACCTAACCTAACCTAACCTAACTTTTTCGGATACCTAACCTAACCTAACCTATAAAGATAGGTTAGGTTAGGTTAGGTAGGGTTGGTTAGGTTCGGTCATATATCTACGTTAATTTTAACTCCAATAAAAAAAATTGACCTCATACATAATGAAATGGGTAGATTTATCATTTCATAAGAAAAAAATGAGAAAAAATATATTAATTCAGGAAAACTTGGCTTATTAGGCAAATCGGGCCATGCATAGTAGGCCAAAAAGTGAGTTCTGGCTACTAGGTACGACATATATATATATATATATATATATATATATATATATATATATATATATATATATATATATAAATGGAAATGTTCGTTTGTTCAAAATCGCTAATCTCCGAAAGTTCTTCACCGATTGCATTGAAATTTTCACACAACGTTCCATTCGCATCCGGCCAGGTTTTTATATACATACTATATAGATGTCACGTCTGTGATGGTAAAAAAAACATGGTTTTTGTGAAAAAACTGTGTTTTTCATGTGAAGGAAATCTTCGAAATCTCTTTACCGATTACTTTTAAATTTTGACACAAAGTTGCATTCGAATGGGCGCGTCTTTTTATATATCTACTATATACATGCCTCACCTGTGACAGGAAAAAACATGTTTTTTTTTAAAAACAATGCCATCTGTTGGACGTAAGAGCAACACACGCTGTAATCTCCGAAAGTTCTTCACTGATTGCTTTGAAATTTTGACACAACGTTGCATTCAAATAGGCGCGTCTTTTTATATACCTATTATATAGATGAGACCCCTGTGACAGGTAAAAACATGTGTTTTTGAAAAACAGCGCCATCTGTTGCACATAATAGCAACATGCATGCTATACTAAATATGTCACAAATTCCATTTCAATGTTTCCGATTGCATTGATAAATTTTATTTTCACAGATTTAAATTTATTTTATATTTTATTGAATTATTTTGTGTGACATTGTGTTGGAATTAGGCTGTATTGTTTACCAAACCGTTCATTTAATAAGTATAAGTATTGATACCACACCTGTG